AATTTCTGGTGGATCTGGAATTGTGTGGTGGAAGGCGTTAAGTTTACGATTGTTAACAATATTTAATTTTAAATATTTTTTGGAATAATTAATAAAAAGAAAATATACAAGAAAATTAAATAGAAAAATAATGATTGGTCGAAGGTAATAAGTTATATATACGACAATAATTTCAGATTATCGATTTCGTACTCCTGATTTCTGAGTAGCGTTACAGTGACATATGTCAAATAGAAGAACAAAAATATATAGAAAAAATTCTTTTTGGCCCGAAATTATTAGGATCTGTATAAGTTCGATAGCGCCATATATTTGCCAATAGCTTCAAAGGGTTACACATGTCATGGTCTTGATTTGACCGCAATTTAACAGTGCTATGTATTAAACAGAATTATTACAGAGGTCTGCATACGTTTAATTTAAGGATTGTCATTTAATAACATGTGTCATTTGATAGCTGTTGGATATATTATAGTTAAAAGAACTGAATACAATAATGGTAACTATATTGGTATCAAACTTTCTATCGCTGATGGGGCTTAATTTTCGCTAGCGGTTCCAATAACGAATAAAATTGTCGCCAGTGAAACACGATTATATCCACAAGAAAATACTATATAGTATGACTTTCGATCAACATGTGTGACAATTTTTTTTGAAAATGACAAAGGCTTATGATAGACATGAACCACGAGTTTTTATCGCTACAACCATAGGTCTACTAATGTTTTTGGCGTTTAAATAAATATATTAAGAGTATGTTGAAGACTTGTGGTTTCAATAGAAAAATGCCATGAGCAACACAATACATTCTGATCATATGATTTGATATTTTTAAACTTTTTTTTAATGCCTAATGATCATTCATAACAACTAGAGTGATGCAGATACACCAGCAGACGATTAGGCCGACGGTCGTTCTTTGATTGCTGTCGAAGCGTATACCCGAATGAAACCTTTTATTTCATATACTCGCATAACACAGCTTTTGTCGAGGATACGAACTGACAGTGAAATGGGGGCGGCGATTCTATCTCTAACATACAAGAAATGCATAACATGAAGTAATGCTCTATTGTATATGTACTGAGCCATGCATTTAAATCTGGTCAAGGAGAAAGAAGTATTATGCGTGTTTTATCGCAAACCAGGTAATATTCTTATCAAAACAGTCTTATGGATGTTTAGACATGTTCTTTGTGGAAGTGGAAAAGTTTTCAGTGAGTTAGCGTATTTTATCGGAAAACATATATTACAGTCATAAAAATATTTTTTTGACTAATTTAACCAGATTTTAACTAAATCTTAAGTTAAAATATTTTAACTCGATGCATCATGTTGGTTCAATCATACCACATATTGGTTTTCATATATTCTAAACCACATGAGCAAAAATTTTCCTAACAAAATGATCAGATAAATTTAACTAGTATGTGGTTTGAACACATTTTATTGAGTGTATATCTAAGAAGAGAATCTTAAAGAAGAGAAAAATGTTTAAAGTCATTTTCTTCATCAGCCATAAAATAAAAACAGCAGAAGTTATCAAAATAACCATTTAAGTCGCATTGTATAAAATTCACTACAGAATATTATTCAGTATATTCTTTACAGTGTATATATATCCTTATATTACCTTTAATTTATATAATTAAAGTGTCTAATTGCATTTAACTTGATAAATGCCAGCGCGTTATTTGTCACTGTTCTCCCCAAGTTGACAGACACTCCACTTGGTCCCCTCTAGATAGCTACAATCTTCCGTGCGTAGTGAAATAATGTGTACAGCGAAATTCTTGTTGTGGATATATAAGGTTATGTGTCGGGTTTAGAACCCATCTTCTAAAAAAAAACTTTCCATTGAAAGGGAAGATTTAGCCTCGTAGAAGGAAACCGGACAATATTCGCAATTGCAAATACTAATAATAACTTATAAAGATATTCTTTATAAAAAACTAAAAGAGTAGAAAATTTCAAAGTTAGTGTATAGGACAACACAATCACATAAATCATTTTCTTCTTTTATGTGTATATATATGTTTGAGTACATAGTATGTAAAAAGGATGAACGATGTTTATCAGATAAATATCTTATAACTCTCAAGTTTTAAGGACAAAACCATAACTTAAGACCTAAAACGTTTATGACTGCATTAAGATGAATATTTCATTCAAATACACTCAAGTGTGTCAAGATAAAATACATAAATTCAATACAAATTCTTTGATTTTCATATATTTGACTGAATAAAAACATATCAAATAAAAGATTTATTTGTGTTATTTGGCATTTAAACTCAAAATAAATATCGCAAAGTCAATAAAAATATCATGGAAATTTTGTCAATTTTATATTTCATTGCTGTACATTTCAATTAAGATTTTGATGGAATTGTAAAAAATAAATGCCAAACATTTCAGAAAATATTATTTCAATTCTGGAACAATATTAAATGCAATAAAGTTCTGCAGTAAAATGCAGTAGCAAAATAATTGAGATGGCATAAATGTTAATCAGCAGAAAAATCAAGCCATCAAATGAAATTTTTGAAGAAAGCGCAAAAATTGATTTGACACAAATTGGTTTATCCAAGCGACCACTGAAAGAGTCATATCAAGAGAATTGATATGAAAAAAACCGCTGCAGATATTCATGAAAATATGCAATTTTGTGTGATGTGAAGAAAAGTCCTTTCAGAAAAAACAAAAAAAAAAAAACTATACAATTTTTTATGTCGTTGCGGAATTTTATTTAATTTTTTTCTTGCCTGAGTTGAAGTATGAAAAAATATGAAAGCATAAAAAAAACAAATTTCAATTTACACATAGAGCAAAATTTTTACTTACAAAGTACATGTAGGACAACCTGACTGGAAGCTGGTTGACCGACTCCATTATTGGCCGTGCATATGTAAACGCCGCCCTTGTGACGGTCCACATTTTCAATTGAAAGAACGTGCGAGTGCAGCTTCTCCTCTCCTAAAATTTTACCATAAAGCAATAAAGTTTAGAAAATTTGAAAATTTGAAATTTTGAGAGTTTAAGCATTTCTGTTAAAAGCAAAAATAAAATAAAAAATCGTAAATAATTTTTATAGATACTCGTATTCGTACATACGCGCAGCGTACAGTCGA